TAGGTCTATTTCGAATATTATTGGTAATAAGCTGACAAAATGACCATCTCTACCATCTGAGTCAACTCAAAAAAAAAGTTAACAGAATTCCTTATTATTGTAATAAGTGTAATGGAAAATTAGTTTTAAATCAGACCAAACTTTTTCATGAATCGGCAAGTGGTTCATCAATGATTCGTGGTGGTTCCGCCATCGAACAATTATATTTAAATTTTGACGAATTGATACTCAATACTGGATTACCTGCTGAAATCAAATCACAAGATTTGAGGAGTGAAATTATTGATGATAATTCACGAGTTTTAAGAAATGAAACTACTGATTGTTATCCTAAATTACCAAATTTACCTCGAAAGCGTACAAGAAGGTATAAAAGTCATCCACAAGTTACTGATGATTTGAGTGACTCTGAGGATGAGCAACATACTGAGTCTTCTTTAAGTGAGAATAGTGAACATAACGAAAGATAACATATCAAATCTCCTATAAGTGAAGACGAAAGTGTTTCTGATGATTTACTTATTTCTGAAACTTTTGAAAATTATTCTTCGCTGAAATATGAACCATATCAAGATGAAGAAGAGGAAGTAACAATCGATGATCAATTTGCATAGATTTTATTATGGATAATGAACTTTTGAATTAAGTTCAACATACCAGAGACTGCAACTGAGTCTCTTATAAAATTTTAGTTCTAACTAAAATCAGTGATGATAAGTTTAACAGATTTTCAAGTACTCTTTATTTAGCAAAGAAATCGCTTGGTCTCAAAGACCGATTTTATAGTTTCGTATCTTATACAAAATGTCATAAACTTTACAACAGAGATGAAGTAATAAACTTTTGATAGAATGATACTTTATCGATTATGAAATGCAATCACGTTGAATTTCTGAATTTATCAATTCGCAGGTTATGGTCTTTTAATACACTATTGTCTCATAAAATGGATAATTCAAATTTTTTCAACCAAAATTAATTCATCTATTTGCCAGCATTCGAGAACAACTCGGTGTTATGTTTTATCGATAAGGGTTCGAAAATTATCTACGTCATTGGGCCAATAGAACAAGTTTCAGTAACATATTGGCTGACATATATGATGGACAAGTTTAGAAGACATTTAAAGAAAATGGTTCAGAAATCTCACCGAAATTTTTCAGACCTGATGTAGCTAATTCACATGTAGGCTTAATGTTGAATTTGGATTGGTTTCAAACATTTGACGGAACAATTCATAGCACTGGAGTATTATATGCCGCAATTTGTAATCTTCTAAGAGACATTCAATTCAAGCGTGAAAATTTACTAATTCTTAGAATTATTTCCAGCCCGAATAAAGTGAGTTTACACAAAATAAATCATTATTTAGCACCAATTGTTAACGAATTCGAGTTACTTTAGAATGGTGTGAATCTAAATTGAACATACGAATGTCAAGAAGGAAGGAGAATTCATGTAGCATTAATCCTTGTTTCATGCGATATTCCCGCAGCAAGAAAAATTTGCGATCATGTTTCAGCATTGGTGTCATGTTATAGGTGCGAAAAGAAGGCAAATTATGAAAATCAGCAACATAATTTTGCTGGAATGATTAACATGAACGAATGGTTTACTTCCCGGGATTCTTCACAACATCGAGAGGATGCACTTGGCTGGCGAAGGTGCAATTCAGACGCTGACAAAAAGCGATTTGTAAAACATACTGATGTTAGATAGTCTGAGTTACTTCATTTACCATACTTTGACCCAATTCATTTTTTAACAATCGACTTAATGCATTGTCTATTTTTAGGCATAGCGAAATGGATAGTTAAACGAATTTGGGTTGATGAGAAGGTTTTAACTTCAGATACTCTTAAAAGTATCCAAAGGAATATGAATCAGATTTAAGTTCCAGCCGATTTGGGTAGAATCCCTCGAAAAATCGACTACGAAGAAGGTTTTTCTAACTTCACAGCAGACTAATGATGAACATTTTATACAATTTATGCAACTACATCACTTTGGGAACATCTATCAGTAATAAACTGAATGATTCTAACACATTTTGTTAGAATTTGTTCGATTCTGATAGGTCAAATTCTGGAACTCGATTCAGTACAAGAAGCTCACAAAAGGTTGATTAAAATAGTAAAACTTATTGAGAAGCATTACGGGTATGATAAAATAATACTGAATCTCTACCTTTCGCTTCATTTATGAGAATGCTCATACGATTTTAGCCTTTTATACACTTTCTGGTATTTCTCATTTGAACGTATGAATGGGATACTTGGTAATTATAGCTTCTTTTTCTTTTTTGCCGATTTATATAACGAAATGTGCTAATAAATAATGAAATATGTTAATAATATTTAGGTTCATAACTGAGTAGTCAAATACATATTAAGCCAGAAATAATGCACAGATTAATAAATGATAATCATATTAGAGAAATCAGTAGTTCGTTAAATATTCGAACAAAAGGTTTAGATTTGCTTGATAATCAAATTGTTATTGGTTCATTATTAGAAGATGACGAATATTCATCTGATGAAATGGAGCGATTTTGCTCTAATTTGAAAAATATACGGAAATCAATTATTACTGGATGTGAACTATTTCCTGAAGAAATGTTAAGTTTTAAATTCAATGCGATATTGTCTAAGTCAATGCTTGATTTAATGGTCAAATACTACATGGCAATATATGAAACACACAATTTTAAGGCACTATTCGATGATGGACCTGAAGATTTGATCATACTTAATCATATTACAATAAATAAATTCGGTCGTTATAGAATTGGTTCAGAGGTATTTGGATTGGCCATGTTATCTCGACATATAAAAAGTTCATTTATTTTAGCGAATTTTATAACATTTGATAATCAGATTGACTGTTATGCTGGTCAAATCCAGTATTTTTTTAAGCATATAATCGATTTTGAGAATAGACTGGCAGAATGTAATTTAGCATTTATTCAGTGGTATAAGCCAGCGGAAACATATAAAGTTCAATATTATTTTAGTATCGATGATGATGAAAACTCTTGTAATGTTGAACTATGGAAAAATGAATTTTTTCCCGATGGTCTTGATAGTATTATTTCGATGCATAATATTTTTTGTCGATTTATACCAGTAAAATATAAAATTTCTACTCGTCCAAATGCTGTTGAATATTTAGCCATAAATCTGATAAATCGTAAATTTCATATTTGTTAACTTTATTTTGTAATATAAATTTTTTATAATAAACCAAAATCTGATTAATATAATACTGAATTATATACAGTGTAACAAATGACAGTCAATTTATTATCAAATTTTAAAGAATAACTGAAATTTTGCTGAACTGAATCATTTAAATATTTGCCGAAAGGGCTTAGTATAAAAATAATGCTAAATTATGTGTGTGTCATAATTTTTTATCGATTTTTGTGACTTAAGCCAAATTTTGCTGAATCATATGACCGAATCGGCTGAATATTTGACGAATAGTATTAGTGCTGAAATAATGCTAAATTATGTACAATGTAACAAATGACTATCAATTTTTGTAACTTAAGCCGAATTTTGCTGAATCATATAACCAAATCGGCTGAATGTTTGCCGAATAGTATTAGTGTCATAATAATGCTAAATTATGTGTGGTGTAATAAATGACTATCGATTTTAGTAACTTAAGCTGAATTTTGCCAAATCATATGGCTGAATCGGCTGAATGTTAACCGAATGGTATTAGTACTGAATGAAATGATTTTGACTAGTATATGAAATTATCGATTTTTATAAAGCAGATAAAGCATTAGAACTATTACAATATAATAATATTATTAATGATAAAATTACTATTAAATCAAATTCACAAGCATATTATACTAGTCAATTACTTAATTTTATTAAGAAATTAAATGATATTTTGGATTTAGAAATTAGTCTAAGTATTGGTAATTATTATATTTTATTAAATTTATAAAATATATAAATATTAATATAATTTGATATTAATATATCCATTTAATTTATTAGAAGCCTTAAATTTACAAGAGTTTAAGTAAGTAATTTAAATTAAGTATTAAATTATTTTTATAAATAGGTAAAAAATTATTTGTTTTATTTATATTTATAAATATTTATTTAGTAATACTATATATAGAATATTTTTTATCAAAAATATGGTTTGTAATTGCTAAAATAAAATTTATATGTAATTAAAAACTATTTTTAATGATAGATATAATGTATTAATATATATTATAATTTATAAATTATGAAATTTTTAATAAAATTAATAAATAAATAATATATAATATAAGTAAAAATTCTTTTAAAATTATTTTATACTAAATTAAATATTTGAATATTAAAAAGTCATAATTCTTATAAAATGCTTATTTGAATTTTAAAATAATTTAATTTATAATATACTTTAAAATAGTATCAATCAGTTGGTAAGACGATCCTATGCAAGAACCGGTTAGATCTTTTTTAAGATTTCCGAAGATTAGATTATTTATGGAAGGAATTACATATGGGAAAATATTTAAACCGAGGGCTGAAGTAAAAATGATTGTGATTGCCATTTGGTAATTTTCAATTCAAAAGAAATAAAAAATAAACCATCCGAACATTTTTGGAAAAAATAGAAAAAAAAATGGATATCGATAAAAACAATTTAGAAAAAATCCTAAATGATTTTGAAACGAGAATGAAGGAATTAGAGCAAAGTAATGAAGTGTTACTTTCTCAAATAAAATATTTAGTAGAAGAAAACAAAGCCAGAAATGAAACTATTATTAATTTAAAAGAAAATATTAGAGAGCGAAACGAAGAAGCAAAAGCCAAGCAAGAAATTATTAATAATCTAGTTGGGAGGATTAGAAACCTTGAATTACTTATTTATGATGATACTATCGATAATTTAATTATTACGGATGCTAATAAGGATAGCATTTTGAACAACGTGGGCGGATTACAAAGATATCAAAAATTGACAAAACTCTTTTGTAACAATACTCAAGTAATCAACTTACCAACTTTACCTAACACCTTAAAAGAACTCTATTGTGATAATTCTCAAATAACAAACTTACCAACTTTACCTAACTCCTTAACAAAACTCTTCTGCTATAATAATCGAATTACCAACTTGCCAACTTTACCTAACTCCTTAAAAGAACTCTGGTGTTTCGAAACCTCAATAATTAGCTTACCAGATTTACCTAATTCATTAATAGAACTCAGTTGCTCGTATACTCCAATAACTAGCTTACCAACTTTGCCTAATTCCTTAAAAGAACTCTACTGCGATAATACCCAATTAATTAGCTTGCCAACTTTACCTGACTCTTTAACTACACTTTGGTGCTTTAATACTCAAGTAACTAACTTACCAAATTTGCCTAATTCATTAGTACATATCAACCCTAAATCTTTAAAAAATCAATATTCAAACAACTATCCTACCAACTTTTAACAATTCAGATTTTTTTTAGTTTTTAATTTTCCGCCTCAAATATTAAATTATCAATTTGACTTTATTGTATTTATTAATTATTTCCTTTTATTAATAAAATATTTTTCTTTCTCGATAAGACAAAAATGAGTTATTGTAGATATATACATATATTGTTTTTTAATTTTTTGATTGCTACTTTCTGAATTTCTTTTGAAAATTCCTTATGAATTATTGGGATTTTGCGATACTATATTTTATGCATTTTCTAGAAAGATCCTGGAAATCCACAAACCAAGTCACATTGCAGAAATTTCCCATATATTGTGCTTCAATATACATTTCCCATTTTAATTTTGAGGGATCCAGAGAAACAATAGAACCAGTTCCTATGGATGAATTTCCAATGATTTTAGAATTCTTTTTTTTTAAAAAAAATACTATTAATTATTCTTTTAATTATTTCTACCTCTTTTCTTTTCTTTAATAGCTTTAATAGATAGTTAACATAACTTACAATAGATTAAAGATAGTTCAATTCAACTAATCGTGGTATTATAAAAAACCCACCACAATTTCAACCTTTTGAATGAGGTCGGCGTAATCTTTCGAAGATTATTTTGCAGTCTCAAAGTTCCTCTATAAAATGACGGATTTGATTAACCATATTTAAAAAGCATTCCAAAAGATACTCATTTAATCTATATTATTACTTCTGTAAGGCACTATTGAATTTTTATTTTAAATCAATTTGAAATAATAATCTTCAGCAGATCTAAATTAACTTTATTCGTATAGGGTTAAAATAAAAATAATTTGGATCACAAAAATTTTCGATAACTCCGGCCAAATTTATTGAGCTGGCTTTTAAAGAAGGTTGTGCATTCTGTTTTTTCATATAATCTCGTTTATGTCAGATATCTTTGTTCTTATAGGTTTTTGTTGGAAAAATTTTTGGTTGTTTAGAGAAGGGGTAAGGTCACAAATGAAATGTTAAAATTTTTCGGTCAGCATTTACATAACCGACAGACTATAGTTTAACTTGGAACAACCCGAGTTTTACGGATTATTCTAAGAATATGTTAATGCATTGAAAATTAATCTAAATTTAACTCCAAACCTTATATTTCACCAGGAATTCAAACACATTGAATTTGGATAAGCAATAACTCGCTTTGATGGCATGATATTCATCACCAATATTACGAAGCAAAGTATTATTCTAAATATTTTTTTAAAAAAGTAAATATAAATATTAATCCAATACGAACTGATGAACCGTTTTGCTTCTGGATGAGTTTTAACATTTTTATATATCAATAATGGAAGATCATTTTTTTCAAAAAGCTCTTTTGTAAAAGTTCACTATGTGAAGCTTTTCGTTTTCAAGTAGTTTCACTTCCAAAGGTAAGATCAATAGCCTCGCTCCATTGTTTAATTATTTATGATTAAAGTAGTGTAACATAAAAAAAAAAGAAATTTGAATAATTTAATTGAGGTCAATCAGACCGGTAGCTTGATTACTGTATAAGAAAAATATCGTATTTGATAAGATTTTAATCGGTTATTCCTGTAGAAAATACTATTTTTACGTCAAAATAAACTAGTGGTTTTCTCACAATACGATTTTAGAATATTCTATTTATTATTTTGCTATATGAATTAATATAGAAAGAAACCACGCCAAATGGCTCCGAATGCCGTTTGGCTCAAATAACAATTTGAAGATATAAAAAAAAAGTTATTAATATATTCGTTAATGCATGAAATGTTATACATTTGTACATACGTCATTCTATTGACGATAATATATGAATTCCCACAATGCTATATTATTGATCGAGTTCGTAAGATTGGAAAGCTTTTGCGAATGTATTTCTTTACTTCAGTCCACAGTTTCTCAATTGAAAATTTAGCGATTCACAGAAGTCAATCCTGCAAGTGCTTCTTTGCCAACTTTGTTTTATGAGAATGATCATTTTTCTTCTGGTATACATCATCACCAATTGGAAATGCATCTCTCATAGTTTGACATAACATGCTTATGAAGAATGGTAAAGTGTGTGCTGTTCCTTAAAATGGAACAATGTCTCGAAAAGCATTTAATTAGGATTATGTTTTACTTTGGTGGAACTTCACACTCGCTTTGTGGGAATTAAGAAAAGATCGATTCATCACTCCACATGACTTTTGACCAATCGTCCTTTTGTTCAGCTTTGTTATACAAGTCGTTCGAATGATTTCTTAATTTTAATTTCCAGTAACGCCTTTTCTATAATTAAGGTTCTCTTTCGAGGTAAAACCATTCTTTTTTCTTGTTCTTACCTTTTTTTTTATAAAAAATTCTGGATCGCTAAATTACACCTAGTTTAATTGTTATTTTATAGTAAAAGTTACTCAATCAGATGAATTACCAAGTCCAATTCAAGCATATACATGATATATACACTTTATTAAACAAATCCTTTATAAATAAAGACAAATATTATTTTATTGAATGTTTAGTTAAAAATCCGAAACAAGATAAAAATTGTAATTTATAAATTATTGGGGTTTTCGAAATTATTGAAATTGCGTGATAATCGACAAAAACAAAAACAAAACACAAAAATCACGATATCAACAATCATTGCATAACACAAGATCTTGTAAAGTATCGCGTTCATTATATTTGTCATAATGCCTAAGAAAAAAGTACCCTACTCAAGAACGTAACAAATTGGCACTTGTGCAAATATGTTTGGATTATAATGAACTATTATCTTTTAAACAGTGATTGAGAAAAAAATAAATACAAAAAAAAAAGAAAAAAGCTAGCTAACTAGATCTAATTCTTCAGCTAAAAAATAAATAATAATGATGACAATGATGTTGATGAAAATGATGATGATGATGAGAACCATGATGATGATGAAGTAATGATGTAGAAGAAATTAATAAAGTAGAATTTGAGAAAAATCTGAAGAAGAGGATAAAATTTTGGGTATTGAAATAGAAGATGATGTGGAATTGAATGTTAAATTTGAAGTAGATAATTCTGAAATTGAAGAATCTGAAGATGAACACATGGAAATCTCATTTAAATTAGTAATTAGGAGAGAGGGTGGGAAAATGGGAAACTATTATCAAACAAATGAGATTTGGGTTGTAAGGTTTCATTTCGCGTAACATTTCATGATTATAAATAATAATTTAATTATATTTTTATTTTTATTTTTAGGAACATTGTCTTTGTTAATCTTCCTAATCATTTCTCTAACAATCTCATTTAATAGTAATCAGAATGCTCTTTTATTATTTCACTTAAAATCTAAATAAATATAATTTATGTTTTAATAAATACCATATACGACGTACATAATATAATAAAATTAAAATATTACCTTCATTAAAATGTTTCTTCTACCAGCCTGTCCTTTCAATTGGTTTATAACACATCTCCACTCTGAAACATTTCATTACTCTTGTAACAGTAGGAGCGTTAATTTTCAATAAATCAAATATATTTTTTTTAAAGAAACATCATAATACAAATATACTACACTTCACCTTAAATTCACTGATATTGTTACTTTTCATTAGCCAAAAAATAACTTTTACTATGGTAACTCAACTATGATTACAATTTTTCTTCCATGTGTTTTTTTGTGAATTTCTGAGATTCCTTGAAAAAAAGTTGTGATTTCAAAGTATTAACTTGAATATATATTGTTTTTTTAATAAAACTTCTTGTAAATTATATTATAAATAAAGTGTATAAAAAAAATCGTAGTAGCTTATTTAAAAATTAGAGTTTTATTATGTAAAGCTGAACGTACTTAAAAAAATGATCTCGAAACGCCAACGGCATAGCATACCTTTTTTTTTCCTTAAAATATTAACGATATACTAAATTTTTATCTACTCGGTGATTAATGAACTACTGTATATTAAAAAATTCACGTACACATTCATTCAAACTCAAAATCCTTAAAAATGAAAAATGCAATGAATCAAAAGCAAATTTATATTTTATATTTGATGATGAAATTGTAGAAATTGCTGAATACTAAGTCTAACGTTGGAAGTAAATATTAATAATTTTCTATTTTATAGATTAAATGATGAATAATAACAGAAATTTCTCGTACATATATAATATCACATGATCCGATGATGCTAACCACCCGTTATAGTTATGAATATTCTTTTTAAAAAGCAGATTTAAATAATAAAAAAATACTAATGATCATAATCTCTTATCTTTAATTATCGTTATGAATTAATTTCTTTAGATATCACGTGATTGTTCGTATGACATTTACCCGTTTTGAATAGCAAAAAATTTACAAAGTTTGGCTCACTAATTCACTAAGTTAAAAAGTGCATCCATTATTGATACTCATATATAAAGCTAACCAAGCTCTTTAAAATAAATATACTGACTGAAAAAATGGAGGGATTTAATGTTGAAATTTCAGGAAAATAAACTTTTGTTTTGTCTAATGACTTAAAAATCAAATTTTATATTTCATTTTCCATTACTAAAATTTTTCGTTTGTTCTATTAAGTAAAGACAAAAAAATGATTACGAAAAATATTGTAAATATTATAATTATTATAATTCATGCTTTTCCATTAAATTACGAATGGAATGTAAAATAAATTCAAAAAAAACAGTCCAAAAACTAGGTGTTATATAATTGCCGTGAACTTTCCTAAATTTCATTATCAATAATAAATCTTCATTGTCGAATAAGTAACTGTAAAGTAATTTTCAATGTTACAAGTAATAGAATCAAAAAAACCAATATCTAATAGTTTCGCATTGATGCAATTTTTTCCACGTTTAATGATACCATACAATATCTTGCAATGCATAGCTACAAGAGAAAATGGCAGGAAAGAGGTGATTCCTCAAATCGAGAGTTGAGAGTTGAGCTGCGATTAATAAAAATGAAAACACTTTTTTAAAAATGTAACAATCTCACAAAGATCATGATAGAAATAAACATACATTTGAAACACAACACCAATCGGTGATACATAATTTATTAATTTATTTAGGGCGATGATATTCAGTGTTATAATTTAAAAGCTTCTAAAGATCAGCTATAATAGACATATGACATTTATTATTTATAACTAAAAACTAAAAACTAAATGGAATTTTTATAATTAATTGAAGATATAAAATAGTGAATTATGTACTTTAGGCCATTTTAATACTGCTAATTTTATTTAAAAATTATAATAACGCACTTAGCAAGTTAAATGTATCTTTAAATAAAAGGTGAGCTTATTATATGATAATCAAAAAATTTAGTAGATTCTCTTCATTATAGAGCGTAGGCTGAGATAGTATTTTATTAATAAAACTTACTATCAATATAAATTTTTTTCCTGAGACGTTGTGATCGATTTTATAAAAGCAATCTGAATTACAAATAAATTACGTAATTAAAAAAAATTGATTTTGCCATTATACACGTGGTCAATACCTCAAACGTAATTTCAGACATCTTTTCTCATGCGTCGCAACTTGAGAATACTTCACATCGATGCCTGTTACAACGTAAGCATACGCAGGTCAATTTGTCCATCGATGTATATGAGTTGTATTGCTTATCCTCTCTTGCCATTGGCCAAGATCAAAGGTAGTCTTTTCTCACGAAGTTTACTTGTGACTGTGGAATATAAATAATGTGATGATCACATGATTATGCAAGGATTGTATATAAATTTTAATACCCATTCGTAAAAAAATATTATGCCGGAGTGCATAAAATGCACTATGCGTAAAATCTAAATTTCCTAAGTTTAAATCTTTAATTGGTTTATTGTTTTTTCTGGATATCTTATTTAAATCGATATCACGTTTGATTGTCTTAAGTATAAAAATTCAAAATATAACGAGCCTTTATAATGTTACTAATATATGAAATATGCGTTTTCATTTTGGTCGTAGATTTGAGAAAGTTGATGTTAATATAGAACGGATCTACAGTAAAAATTTCAAGGAGCTCAGGTTAAATACCCGAAATGTTCGTTCATTTCATTAGACAAGTATTACTCCAGTGCTATAGCGTTTTGATAAGAAATTATCTTTACGAGGTCGTTCCTTTAATACAACGACTCTTAACATCAGACTTAAAATTCCTTACTCGTTCGATAAATTTGATTTTAAATCTAACATTATTATTTTATTATCATTATAATAGGCAGTTATTTCAGCGGTACATAATGGGTTCTTGATGTTCACCTTTTCGCGGCCTAGTGCTTTGCTTAGTGATTGATAATTGTAGTTTGTCAATCATTGATGGAAAGTATCTATTTTTATTTTTATTTTTTTCCTCCTTTAACGCTGTCTAGGCGGGTGCTAATGGGCCATTTTAAGGGTAGAATAATGTTCGCTTCCCTTTAGTTTCTATCAATTCGGTCGTCCTTCATTAACTACTTTATATAAGATGTGGTTAGTAAAAGATTTATCTTTAAAAGGAGAATCATATTCTGGTGTCATCAAAGCTAAAAGCAACGGTTTAGACAGAAGCACTTTAGGATTGCCTGTCAGAAGTTTTTGCCTTACGCGGGAAAGTTTCCTTCGAGGCGTTGGTCTCTTTTCATATGCCTTTCTTTGAGGAAGTACAAAACCTTTGAATACCTATAGTTTATATTAGAGTTTTTTTTTTTTTTTTTATTCGTTTTTCTTCTCTTCCATATTTATTCTAATTTCTTCTTTCCTTTTATTATGCTGTATTTAAAGGATAAAATGGTCTGAGAAAGAGAAAAGTTATCCATCTGACTCACTACTTAAATTCCAAGGGAATGCATTCGAATTATCATCAAAAAAAAAAAATTTTTTATATATGTATCCACAATAAATTTCTCTTAAGACCAAAAGAAATAGCCCTAAACAACGGAAAATGATTTTTGATATCAAAACATTTCTTAAACTAAAAATAATTTGCAGTCGAGTTATCGCTTAAAGAATTTATCTCAGAAATTTTAGCAAACATTTGTAACAAAGTTAGATGGTTTATGCGAAAATTTATCGAAATGTCATATGCAACTAGAGGAAACCGTAATAACCAATCAGCATCGACTCAATTCGTCAAGCGGGACGCCTCGTGTAACCGTGAACGATAGTATATAGTCCTTCGCTACGCTCCGTACTAATAAAGAAAATTTGTAAGATAGGTGTCCACTTATTTACGAATAATGCTAATATGATTGAGCATTTTATTTTTTTTTTGCATCATAAACAGTCAGCATTATTATTTTCTATGTAATTCCACCGACGTTTTTTTACATCGAATTTTCAAACGTTAGCCATCATTTATTTATTTTTTTACGTAAATTTCAATTCATAATCTGTATCAAATAGATAATAATCAATTGATAAACAAAATTGCATTAAAAGTATTTAGTATAATTTTAATTTTAACTAGCAAGAAAGTATTTGTTCAATGAAAATACATCATAACTTTCCACTGATCCTTAGAATATTTACCTCAAAGCGACGAATTTACCTAAAAATGTTGTATTGTCGAATTCATACATAAATCTGAAAGGTAGTTCATAAACTTGCCAATGTCATAATCATTGCCTTTGTTAATGATCAGATGAGGAGAAAAATTGCATATTTCATCATTGAATTCTAAAGAAATAGTTATATCATGAAACCATAAAAGTTTCCGATTTATTTTAAAATTCACGTCTGTAATTCATAACATAAAATGCAACAAAATCGAATGGTGAAATATCATCGAGACCATTGGTATTTTTCTGAATGCATTTTTCGGTCTGTACCTATATAATAAGTATTCATGAAATTATAAATGATTCACAACTTACCAAATAACTTATGTGTGGGTTTACATTTGAGTTCAATATTAGACTAACCAGAATTAACCAGCGAAATCAAAGGTATACTTTTCATTGCAGGTTGTCAGTAACCGTTAGTAGATATCAGTAATAGAATTTTTTAACTACTGACGCTTTCAATATCTTTCTTGAGGTCTTTAAAGTATTTTATTGCTTTCCTATTTACTGTCAGTAGTGTCAGTAGTGTTAATTCTTTAACTGATTTCATCCCATCAAGCCATCTATAAAAGCCTTGAATATTCAAAGTTACAAACCTGATATATATATAAATTTAAAAATTTTAAAATATATATAAAATTCATGTCATATTATTAATATTTAAAAATTTGAATCAACTCATAAATAAAATTTATTACTTTTCAAATGTTCAAATATATCCTATTTATAGATTTATTAACTATTAAAAAACTTCGTAAAATATCATTTTAAATATATTGGGTTAAAGAGTTAAGGGTTTCTTGTATCAAAAGATTATAACGTAATGATAACCAAACCAAAAAAAATAAAGTAAAATAAAATCCCAAATTTAATATATTAAAGAATAAATGTTCAAATTTCCTCTTTCTATAAAACGCATTCATTTGCTACATTTATAGGAATAAAATTCAATATAGGAAAGTCATTATTATTTATAAAAAAACCTAAATTACCATTAACAGTAGATTCAAGACGTGGTTGTTTCCCTTTTCTACATTTACTTTGTTTACCAAGCGTAATATTAGCGTTAAGTTGTCCAACTAACTCAAGCCCAACTTTCTGTTTAAAAAGAGCATCATTAATTATGCTAAGACCAAAAGCCAATTGTGGTTTCAATGCAGTTGCAATTGTAATTTTAGATGAATTGCTGAACTCAAGAATCGGTTTATGTAAGTTAATCTCAGGGATAAATCCAGATTGTTCAAAGGATGGCTCATTAACAAATGTGACCTTTGCATTAAATTTAGGTAAGCTAATATCACCACCAAAAATTACTTTTGCTTTTACGTCAGCAGAAATTTCAGTTGAAGCAACTAAATCTATTGACGGTCCAATATTAAATAAACCTGGCACACCAAAACTAATTATCGGAAGACTGGCAAGGGTTATACTGGATTTAATACCAGCTTTAACGACAAGGGAAATATCCACGTTTAATTTAATATTTCCATCAAGAGTAATCGTAGCATCGGTTAATTTAATCCCAGTGATACCAAATTCACCCGCAACTCTCAATGCAATTGTAGCTTCACCATTCATAAAACAATTTGTGCATAGTAGTTTGCCATCCGCGATATCTGCAAATGGAATATCTGGGTTTGATGTTTTCCCTGTCGCTTCATCAAATAAAACGTTCAAATTTAATGTATTTGCCAAGTTAATTTCTGGGAGGTCGATCCTTCTATTAAGCTTTTTTGGATGTCCATTTTCCCATGAAACATCAAGAAGAAATTCTTGGGACCAATCTTGTATATTACACCTTTCTATAGAAAAAGTGACTTTTTTATTCGAGGCATCAACAATTTTGTCTTTAACCATAACAAATTGTGTTGTAGATTTACCAAAACATTTCCATTTATGTGATATTAATAGCATGACTTTGTCGGGCCATTGATTAACTTTTTCAACATCATTCCCTCGGAGTGTAATTTTATTGTCATCACAAATAATACCAGCTATTCCGCTTTGATCAAGATTTAATGAAGGTACCTTGGTCTTAAAGTAAATTTCTGCTTTATGGTATCCTCCAACTTTGGATTTTTTCTGTCTATAAAAACCACGAAGGTTTGTTGAAGGTTTGAGTCCTCCTTTATTACTTGGGATAACATTGAAATTTTCTGAAAAAACAATTTCAATAAATATGATTCCAAAAAGAAAAAGGAGTAAAAATGAATTTTTAATAAGTTTAATCATTTATGTGCGTGTGAATGAAATAATTGTCTGGTTATGAGGAAATGACGGAATGTAAAAACGAGTAAATTGGAAAGATGTCTTAGATGTCGCGTCTAGCGTCAACCTATATAATCAATATATAGGTTATTTAGATATTTAGGTGAAAAAAATTTATTTTTTTTTTATTTAAATTTTTAAATTTTGCAGATTATATATACTGTAAGAAAGAAGTTCGGGGAATTTTCCGAAATTTTGTATGTGTGACAAATTTAGATTTACATCAACAAAAAAAAACTTTGTTGCCTCGAAATTTACACACGTTGTCATTTTTAATATTGTCTTTTTTCTGAAACAAGTTTAACAATTATTGAACAAAATGTTGTTGCTCATATTTGGAATGAATTAACTTTCAATACAAAGTAAAAAAAAATAAAATATAATGGAAAGTGAAGTTTCACCCAACAAACATACATTTTTCTTTTATTTTTTATTATTTTTGTTTCCAAATTAGGTAATTTTTTCGATTAAAATTATCATGATTTTCAAATATTAAATTTGTTTTTTGTTATTTTTTTATATCTAAAACATGATATACTCTTTGAAAAAAAAAAAAAGAAAGAAAATTTTGAAACATCAACAATCCAATAAAAGGCAAGTAACTTTATTTGTAACATGGAATCTGACCTTTAATAAAAATTTCTTCATGTTAGTTGTAATGATTGAAATAAGATTTTCATCTATCAATTCCCATTAATTGAACCCCAAAAAGGTTATAATGTATAAATAGATACAAACGAAACAATAACAGAAACAAGGAACTATACGGATTAAATTCGAAATCTTCAAACAACAAATACCAATTTTACAGTAAAGTTTAAGAGAAGTATTTAAATTTTCAAAAACAATTATTACGCTTTACACTTAAAGCTGAACAAAGAATTTTTAGAATTTTATCCGTCAAAAATACATTTATCACGTGATTTTATATAAAATTAGTGCTTCCATGTTAATAATAATCATTATATACAGTACATTTTAAAAGTGAAAAGAAAGAAGAAATGATCATATAGTTTTGATAATTTATTTATTTATATAGTGGCATAAAATAAAAAAAAAACGATATATATATAAGAAAGCCAGTCCTTTTATTTTAATGTTAAAAAAATTACTGATTCTCTACATTACTTTTTATATTTCTTTTATTTTTTTTTCATATATTTTATATGAAGTAGTGTTTTTTATTCTAATATTGTAAAATAAAAAGGTTCATGCAAAATATTTTTCTTTAAAACAATTAAAAAAATAAACAATTATTTTTTAAAAAAAAAAAAAATTAAAATTATTGCTATATAAATCATTTTTAATACTTCTTCAAAAAAACTAATAAAAGTAAAATCATTATATATAAAAATACATGCAAAAACCTAAATAATTCAAAAAAAGCTAATAAAAATGTACTAAAAAACAATCATTTATTTATTAATATTATATAATTATTATTATTTTTACCTTCATTAAAAGGTTTTTCATTAATAATACTAATTTCTCTTTATAAATTAGATTCAAAAATAAAAATACTTTAAAAAATATTTGATCAATCATAATATTTTACCTTTAATTTTAACTTTAAATATAATTTCAATAATTTTATAAAAAAATATTTTAATTTAAATAAAAATAAAAAGTAAATTTATAATAAATTTACAGTTTAATTTCACTATTTTTTTTAGCTTTAAAGGGATATACATACCTGTAAATTGAGAAAATGTTATAATTTGCAATATCACATATATTGTAAATTTAAAAATTTAAAATATGTAGTAATTATAATAGTAATAAATATAATATTTAAATTAATATTTTATAATAATTTATATTACTTTATTTAATAAAGAGATATAGTTAAATGGAAATTTGATAGTAATTATTACTAAATTTACACATATTTGAGATGTATAAAAGGAATACAAAAATCATCAGGTAATACAAATACTAATCATTTACTCAAAATTTTTTAAACTGCAATAATTAAGAAACTACCATATTAATTTAAATAAAAATTTTTATTTAACATATAAAATCCAAAACTATATACATAATATTTAATATTTTACTTTTATAAGCTATAATTAGAATTTAAAATCTTAAGTCTTAAATTTAAAAACTTAGTTTTAAAATCAGATTTGTTAGATCTTTAAATCTAATTTTCAGATCTGGTTTTGAATAAATTCTGATTAATCAAAAATGACAGAAATTTAAATAATAGATTTTAACAAGTAAGATTTTACTATATTATAAAATTTGAGTTTGTATTAATATATAAGATTATTTTATTCTAATTTATTCTTACCAAAATAAATCCTTAAAAAAATGGATATTATTTTATTATTGGCAAATCTTTACTGGTCTAAATGGATACAAATCAGCTAAAAATCAGACAGACAATTGATGAATGATTTATGGATGATTTAGGGCTGATTTGCATTAATTCCGATTAACACAATATGAGTCAATCAGAAATATCAATCAGTCATTAATCAGCTATCTAAATTTGGCCTAAAAACTACCTAAATTTGATCATCAATCAACCGTAATCAGCCTAAAATCATCCAAGCAAATCGGAATTAAAAATAACTAATTTATATTTATTTAATTTTATAATTTTATAATTTTATTATTTTTACATAATTATTGTGATTTTTTTAAGAAAAATAAAGAATAATTAA